AATTATAACTACATGTATAGACTATGGTTGGCTCGAAATTTATACTGTTCATGACAAGTAGACTATATACCAGAGATAGGTGTTGAAGTCACCTAGTGCTCGCCTGCAGGGAGTCAACGGGTTTAAAAAGGAAAACGCATTCTCTTTTAACACTACCACTTCTGTCCCCTACTTCAAACCGCAACCCGTGCTACTTTATCCGCATCTATATACACCCCGATTACAAGACTCAAAGTCACATGCAAGTCAAATTCATGCGTCTGTAAAAACATTCAAGTTTTTTTAAAAATTTAAAAGAAAAGATGGAAATGAAATGTATATTACAGTATATTATTATTCATTAGTCACTATACGCCGAGCATTGATTTGCATTTAAATATGAAACGTTGCACAATAATGCAACAAAAGTAAAATGTTGTTCAACAAATGTAGATAATTTAATATCCAGCTTTTCAACACTAAACTTATAATTTCATGCTAATTAGTTAACACTTGAACATTAAGCCTATCATTTGATAATTTCCAGCTTGCTTATGTTTATCCACATGTGGGACAATGCCATCTCAAACCATGTTGCTTTAGTTTGCTCACATGATAATACTGGATACCTGATGAAGTATATTGATCCATGAGATTGAACACGAAAATATGAATATGAGCTCCCCCCCCCTCTCCAATTAAGCCTAGTTTCCATTTGGTCGTTAGTTGTCGCTGGCACGACAAGCGGTAGATGTGAAATAGTCTAAAATCAATAGTCTTTTTGTGTGTTATATCCAAATCATTCTTAATGACTGCAGAGTTTTATAAAGGTCTGTTGACACTCTATTACATCAGCCAACTAACGACCAAATGGAAACTAGGCTTTATCGAGCTTGCTAGAGCACCGATCATGAGCATAAAGCCATAATTATAATGTCAACTATTTAGCACCTTAACGCTGACCTAATGACCTTATGATTTTGAAGTCTTGTTCGACAATCCGCCCCTTTCCCTCACCTGTTACATCATATCTTGCAACGAGTGGTAAACATATGAATAGAATATTAAACTGAAAGTGGCACCTTAACCTTATCATCTGGTATGGACGCGGACACGGACGCCGGACTATGGCAATAGCTCTTCTGCACTAGAGCGCAGACGACGTAAACATTGAAAACCTACTACTCCCACCTTGTGGTCAAACATATGCTTTGATGTTCAAATCCATCATACCATACCACACAAATAAACATAATTTAAGCACGCAACCTTTGGCAACATAAAAGTTGCACATAAAAAAATTAAGCTGTTAAAAGTATGACTAGTGGTCGGAAATTGGAAAGTTTTGACATGAAATTTAACGTGGATTTAAACCTCATGAAGAATCA